CCAGCACTCTGTAGACCCTCGGATGCAGAAGGATTATTGAAAGTTTGAGACCAGTCTGATCTACACTGTGAGTTCCAGGTCAGCCAGGGCAAAATAGCAAAACTCTGTCTTTTAAAACAGCAAGTAAACAGTGGACACCTTGAAAAAAACAGTTTTGTGGATACTAGAAGAAAATAAAGGAGTTTTCTCTATTCATATCTGAGAGGAAATATTCATAGGTAGTGTGAGCCACCAGAACCAATGTTCTAAAAAAAATGAGAACTTTCCAGGAACTTGCCTTATGAGGAGAGAGTAGTGAGGCTGAAGCAGAGGAGTAACAGGAGAGCATAGTTTACAAGGTCACAGAGGTGATGGAGTTGGTGAGACATGAATTTCAGTGTCTTTAAACTACCCCAGTTTTTTTTTAAAGATTTATTTATTTATTACATATGAATACACTGTAGCTGTCTTCAGACACACCAGAAGAGGGCATCAGATCTCATTACAGATGGTTGTGAGCCACCATGTGGTTGCTGGGATTTGAACTCAGGACCTCTGAAAGTGCAGTCAGTGTTCTTAACCACTGAGCCATCTCTCCAGCCCCCCAGTTTTTTTTAAATAAACTTTAAAAGATTTTCACGTTGTGTTTTATTTAATCCAATGGATTCCTGATGTTGCTTCAATATATAATCTGATACACGTTGCGCTGCCACACATTTCAACTCAAACTTGCCACTTTAAGAATGCTCGAGGATGATTCTCAACATTAACCTTGGGCTGACATATGCACACACAGACACATATGTCGTATATATGCCCACACACGTGAAAATGGGAAAAAAGATTTTGGAAAAATCCTAGCCGCCTTGCAAGAGTTCAGAAGCTATACCTCTGAGAGAAACAGAGAGCATTAGAATTGACTTCAACTGGGAGCCCATTTTGCTCCATCAGCAACCTAGAACTGAGGAACAGAAGTACACACGAGAGCCTAAGGCAGTAGCAAATGGTAATTGTGTTAACAGTGCAAATGAAAGAGACATTTTCATTGTTAGCAAGGCTGTGAGAAATGTACACTCTTGCACACTTTTGATAGAGATGTAGGTTTATGAACAATTTCTAGTGGACACGTTTGTAGTCTACTAAATATTTAAATACCCATGTCTTTTCATTCAGCAATCTTTTTTTATGGACCCAGTCTATAGAAACAATTACACAACCTGTAGCCACCCAACTGACAAAAATAATCATATAAATGGGCAAAGATCTAAGCAAAAGATGTCTCTCGCACCATTGTTTATAGTAGTGAAAAATGAAAATGTTTTATTCTATTATTCTCTATTGGTGTAGAGGAAAATATAGTACACTTATACTGTGAAATACTGTGTAGTCTTCAAAACAAATAGGGTAGATCTGTTGACGTAATTGGACATAAAGGCAAAGATAATAGAGATGCTTTGTATGCAAGAAAATCAAATTATGGAATAACACGTGTAACATCAAATTTCTGTTAAAAACGATTGGATCTCTTGAAAGGATCTTATTTCTACGTTTTGCTTGTTGTGTGTTTGTTTGTTTGTTTGTTTGTCTGAGACAAGGTCTCAGACTCTAGCCCAGGCTGGCCTTGGACTCACAAAAATCTTCCTCTTTCAGCTTCCCACATGCTGGGGTTAAAGGCATGAGCTACAACACCTAGGTTATTGTGTGTCTCTGTGTGTTATTGAATAGGAAAAGATCTGAGATGTGTGCTGCCTGTGAGCATGGGGATGAAGTTGAACATGTGGGTGAAGGACTCGAGGTGAGCTTTTCTTTTGTACACCTCTTTGTTCTTTGAAATTCCCCTGCATTCCAAATATATTGCTTTTCTACGTTTTCAAAATTAAAAATGAGGGAGCAATCAGATACCACACTTTTCTCTAGGTTCCCAAGAAAGAATTTTGAAGGGAGTAGTCTATCTGTTACTGTATAATCAGTGTGTCACTGTGCACTGTGGTGGGAACAGCTCCTGATATGAGTTGGGGCTGGCATTTTTAAGCTTCAGTTTTCTTATACAGAAAATGGAGATAATGCCTGCACTACTTATTGTATTTCCAGTAATGGAGGTAAAACAAAAAAATAGTTTATAAAGTATAAAGCCCTCTAAAAATATGAAGACGAATATTTTATGTGCCAGTTACTGGCCCACTTCTTTTGAGCAGTGGTCAAACAATAAAAAAAAAATTCAGTTTCAAGTAGAGAGTGTGCATGATTTCCTAGAGTTCAATGTAATCCTTAGGTTTTATATGGCAGCAGTATTGATACTTTATTTAAACATTCCAGTGTGTTTTGTGTTCATATGTAATACTCTCATGGAGATAGGTTTTGGCAAAACCGTCTGATTGTTTATTCCTCTATCTTAGAGCCGACTACTTTAGTTACAGTACTAGCAAGCTTTCTGTGCTTAGTGCCTAGCACTCTTCTTTGGCTAGATATTCAGGTTTGTCTGGGTCTGTCACAGTTTACACTATTTCATGCAAATTGCCAATAATGCCCTTTTCATTCCCCCAAAGTATCCTAGTTATAATAATCAGTGTCTGAGGGTTTCTATTGCAGTGATAAAACAAGATGACCCCAAATAACTTGGAGGAAAGGGTTTTGGGGCTTACATATACCAGGTCACTGTCCATTAAGGGAAGCCAAAGCAGGAATTCAAGGCAGGAACTAAAGCAGAATCCATGGAGAAGTGCTGCATAGTGCCGTGCCCCCCCTAGCTTGCTGAGGCTGCTTTTTTATACACTCCAGGACTACAATGGGCTGGGCATCCCCCACATTGATCATTAATCAAGGAAATATTATGCAAACTTGCCTACAGGCCAATCTCATGGAGGTATTTTCTTGTTAGGAGTCCATCTTCTCAGATGCATCTAGATTTATGTCAAGATGACAAAAAGACAACCAGGACAACCAGTTACATTGACAGTCTACTATGGTCACATATAGAACATGGGAAGAAACATAGTAAGCCCCTGGTTAACAAACACCATACGTAAGAGGAAGAGTAGGCCATGAGTTTGAGAGGGAGTGGGGAGGGAAAATAGGCGGAATTATAGTGGGGAGGAAGGGGAATGGAAATGATGTAAATACAGTGCTCATATATTGAAATTTTCAACAATGACAACAAAGGAAAAAATAAGCAGATAATAGCTATATCTAAACCAGCTCTGTTTCTCTATTTTACCTTAATGCCAAAAGAAATGTCAGTGGCTTTTAGTGAAACTATGGGTCTTTTGGAGACTTGATGGACTTAGAAGCAAGCCAAGGCTTAATAACCAAGGTTCCGGAGAGCTGGTGTAGACCTCCAGAGAGTCACCCTACAAGCTGTTCTCTTGTGCAGAACTTTGCCTATATTTTTTTCTCATTGATTAATTCTCCTGATCAGAAATTTAGTTGGAGAACACCAGCCATTGATCATCAATAGTGCAAACAGGTTGCAAATTGCTCATAAATAGTATTGCTGCCTTGATACTGGGATTTTACAAATGGTGATGTTTCATGGACGAGTACAGCTAGAAAGGAAAAAGAAATTTGGAGTATGAGATCTCTGAGGAGCAAATTCCCCTTAATGACAGCCTAGAAACTCACAGGACTAAGGAGGTGGGCTCAGGAAGGAAAGTAGGTGTCAAGGGCATGCACTATTTATTTGAAAAAAAAAAAAAAGGTCTTGTGAATTATTCCTGCTGTGAAGGGGAAAATGTGTTTTTCTCTGCCATTTTTAGTTGTTGTTGTGTTTTTTTTAAATCTTTATCCCAATTCTTTATGGCATGGTACTCAGAATTAAGCTGGTTTTCAAGTAAGGTCTGTATAGGACAGAGACCATGATTCATCATATTGGTTCTGCAAGAATATGAATTATTGGGTACATTTTGTGACATACTATTTTTTAAGTTAGGCCTTTCCTGTATAGGAATGGCTCTTTCTCCCTGAAGGGGCTCACTCTCCCTAGAAGAGGTCACAGTCAGGGGATTTAGAGGAGACTCAGTTAATAATAGGAAACCATGGAGAAGCAATCTAGTATCAACTGCACAATACCAATTGCCTGAAAGCGAAATGTGAATTTATGCCAGGGGTATACCAGGGAGGACTGACATGTATATTTACAAAGTCTAAGAATATGCTCAGACATCAATATGAGGGAATGGAAGATTTTGAGGTTCAGAAGTCCTTAAAGTTTGGCATCAGACATAGATGAGGATAGGGAAGTCTGGAAGGAGGAGTTATTTTTTTATAGAAGTGAAAGGGTTTCCTGAAGAGGGAGGAATTCACTTGGCTAAAGAAAGATGGAAGTGAAATCGTTTTCTTGTAAATTAAAGCTCATAAACCATCATTCGAAATGAGTGCTTTTTGTCTGACTAAACACTTTGAGCGATAAATCTTTTCAGCATTTTCTGTGGCTATAGTTCAAATGTAATGAAGACCAGGTCATGAAAAGCTGGGAATCCAGATGAAGGACCCTGGATTTGCTGACAGTCCAGTCCATGGAGAGTGTTACTGAAAATGCCTTATTAGAGCTGGGACATTAGCCTGAGACTGGTACAAATTATTACACAGTACGAAGGAGAAAGAAATCCAGGACACCATTCAGGAAGCTGCTGCTTTAGGCTAACGTTATATCTAGAACAAAATGGAAGCAGCAGGTTGGACATGGGACAAATCTGCCATTCACTTTAGAAGCAGCAGGACCAAGAAATCTTATAGGAAGAACTGGAGGAGGCCCTCCAAGTACAACGTTTTTTATTTTAAAGGTTTAATTTTAAACAATGCAACCTAAGAGAATCTGTGTACAAAGAGCTGGAAGATTTAAGTGCATGGTTTATTATTAACACAGTAGCAAATATATCAAGGGAACACACCCGGGGGAAAAGTGTTTCAAATAAACACTGACTTCAGAGAGAAGTCAGTGCCCAATAAGCAAGCTTAAGGAGGCCTATTTGCTTGGTGATGCCCAGCTGATAAGCCAGCCAAACCTCCCTGTGATTGAAGAAGCCAATTTGAAACTCAGTTCGGGCAGCCTTCGGAGTAGCACCTGCTGCTCCAAGCAGCTTTCAGCATGATGGTGTTTGCATTTTGGAAGGTCTTTCTGATCTTAAACTGCCTTGCAGGTAAGGAATGGATCTTCCAACTACTAATGGCAACTGGAAATCGAATTTCTTTCAGACTAAAATCTCAGATATTTACAAAAATCTTCATCTCCTAGACTTCAAAGAGATTGTGATGAGTATGCCGTCTAGTTTCAGAAGTCTTGTTTAGCAAATGTGTTCGATGTCGTTGATTGGGAGGTCATTATTCAGCCAAATTATTTTTATAGAGCTCGTGAAATGTTTCCCATTTTCTTTAGTTTGAAAGATGAACAAGCAAATTTACTCTGAAAGCAAAAGTTTGCACTTTAAAGAGATCTGTTTTAGTTCAGTGTCTCCCCTAAGCTCACCATGTTTGACTCACTTTGCCAGAGCAAGAAAAGCCTGGCCTCAAGAGCGCATGAACATATGTGTGGGGAAACTAGAGAAAGACGCACTGAGTGCTCACTCAGTTAGTAAAGATTTCCTAGGAAGTGCGGTTTTTGAGTCTTAAGTATGTATTGCAGAAATTATACGATCGAATAGTCATGCCATAATATGAATAATATGGACAGGTTTAGGGATTTGAGCAGAACAAAATGATTTTTAGAGCCCCAAACTCCAGTGTTAAGCTCAGGAGAGGCAATTGATTTGGCAAGTCCCTTGGCTGGGGTTTAAAAACTAATGTGTATATTTTGAATCTGTTCTGATGGTAAGTGAAGTTTACGGTAGCTACAATCATATTGTTTATAAAACACGGGTGCTCTTTTAAGTCATGAGTAATTTTAGGCTATCATTAGCATGTAATTTTACAAGCACATTTAATGATACAAGAATATGCTCAGGATAAAATAAGTAAAAGGTCAAGATACACAAACATTAATTATAATAAATCAAAGTTTCTACAATTAATCATGGTTCTTGTTGGGTGGTATGATTAAATGTTTTGATTTTATCTCCGTAACTTTTTTAGCAATAGGGAAAATGTTAATTTGAATACTGTCTTGTGGTTAATAGCAAAATTTTAAATATCTATTATTAAATGCTTAAACAAAGATGTTATATGGAGTCAAAAGTCGCCAGAAAGAACTATTAAATTTATCCCATAATCTATTCTGGCCATAGTTACTTGATCTTAGAGTTTTGTTTCTATTTAATAGTTGAAGAAAATCTCTGACATTTTCTTCAGTTGTTAACTAGATGGCTTAAACACTAAGCTTTATGTACCAACCCTCTAGGAGCATACCTTTATTCAACATAATTCTTTCTGTAAAGCCTTACCCTGTTCTATATTAGACATAGGATCATAACAAGTACATGAATGACTTTTATTATAAATACATATATATTTATATAATTTTACTGATGTTAAATATAATGGACATTTACTGTATTTGACAATACAGAAATTTATAAATAAAAATATACTCTTACCACTCAGATTTGGGTAAATTTTTTTCTTTGTAAGAATGTACATCACATTCAAATGGGGCCTATGTCTTGTACCTCATTTTTCTATTATTTAAAAAGTTATTTAGGTCGGGTAGTGGTGGCGCACGCCTTTAATCCCAGCACTTGGGAGGCAGAGGCAGGCAGATTTCTGAGTTCGAGGCCAGCCTGGTCTACAGAGTGAGTTCCAGGATAGCCAGGGCTACACAGAGAAACCCTGTCTCGAAAAACCAAAAAAAAAAAAAAGTTATTTAGCATGATGGTGGTATATTGATTGTAACTTTCAGAAGATGGCTCAATCAGAGGGAACCATCACACCTGGGTATTTTCTCTTAAATCAACTGTGTGACTTTTTGGTTTTTGTCATTGTTTGACATGTGCTGTGTATTTATGGATATATGTTTTAGCTGGCCCAAAGCAAAATCCGATTGCACAGGAGGTGGTATGAAAATGGGATATAATATGACGTGACCTGCTGTAGTCACAGTCATGTGGATGGCATATGAAGGAAGATCTAGGTAATCTATACCTGTCATTCACAGAGGTGCAAGTCACTTTCCTGCTTAGGAGCCATCAGTTGACATTACAGTCATAGGAAAACTAATAATGTTTTATAAACGTACAATTTCATGCTCAACCTTCATTTGTTCCATAAAAAATACTATTTTTGTATTAAGCATGGTACATGGACCCTAGTAAAAATGTGTTGAAAGAATAATTCATCACCCCCAAACCCAGACATCTGGAAATGATTTTCATACTCACATTTAAAATCATATTTCTGCACAGCTAATCAGGAAGACGTTCTCTTAATCAAAAAATTCTCAGTGATGTCTGAGGTCTTAATTTCCATTTCAGAAAAGCAAACTGTAGTTAAAACTTTGTTGTGCAAAAAAAAATTTATGGTTTTAGCGCCTTGTGATATGTATTTGTCACCTGTTGGAAAAATATGTTACTCTTGTTTTCAGTTAATGGAGGTATGCACTTGAGAGAAGTCAATATCTTGGAATGTTGGTTTTGAAGTCAAACACAAAAATTATAGAGTCATTTGGTTATATTATTTCATAACTAAAAAATAGAGCATCTTTACAAGGAAGTGGATAGAGATGAAATCACTTGAAATATACCTAGGAAACAGCCAGCTGGGCAGTAGTTCTGCTGTGGCATGGTAGTCGTCTTGTAGTCCTCCAAATAAGCAAAGACCTTGCCCACACAGTAGGCATTAAATGGATGAATGATCATCACCAAAACAGAGCATATTTAAACTCTTTAGAATAATTTAAACTTAAGCACACATTTTTAGAAGCAGTCATGTACATTTCAACCATATACGTACGCAGTTTTGTCTTGTTCGTTAATTCAGTCACGTCAATGAGGAAAATTGTAAGCTAGGATTTTCATAAAATGTGTTTTAGTTTTTGCCTGTTATTTGTTCACTATTCAGTTAATGTGGGTATTTTTTTAGTTTCTCAATTTTAAATATTATTTTTCATTATAAAATTATTCCAAATATAAATAACTGGGAGGCCTCCACTTCTCTGAGGAAAAGGGGAGAAGGGAGTGGGAGGAGGAGAGGTGGGAGGAAGGGAAGAGAGGAAGGAGAGGAGGCTGCCATCGGGATGGAGAGTGGGTGACTAGATTGGTAAGAAAACAAGGAAATAAAAATATAGAAATTAATCCAAGGGAAGAAAAACTTTTCTCCTGATGTTTGTAGAACTGCTTCCTGGTTAGTGCCTCATTTCCCCTGTTTGTTTCATGTGAGTAGAGACTACTGAATTGGATGGTGTAGAGACAGAATATTTCCATGACTTCCACCATCCTCATCATCACAGAAAGTTCCACAGGACAATGATGGGCTAGAGAATGATCTCAGAGGAGTAAATAATATACAGTAGCAGAACGGTTCCCACCCACTCCTTTTTTTAAAAAAACTATTCGGATCTTTATTTCCAGTCACATTCTCTAATCCAGAGATATAAGACTGTTTATAGAAGTGGTTTATTCTATGCACAAGACAGAAAATAGCAAAGACTGTTCTAGGCTAGTAAAATACACTTGTGGGGGCTCTTCAAAGAACTGAAAAGAATGTCCAAAACCCCAAAATATCAAGAAATTAAAGTGAAAGAGTTAATAGATAATGCCTAGATTATAACAAAAAATTGAAGACTAAATGTCTATGAATCCACAATGCTATTACTTACAAATAGGACAAAATTAATAATAGTGGAAACAGAAATCTCTGGTGTTGGAAAAGTTTGGCTGGTTTGTGCGGCTACAGCTTCGTAGTAGAGGCTACACAGAGAGATCTCCTCACAGAGACAATGGTATTTGGAAGAGAGGCAATGGTACCTTACAGTGGGAAAATCTGGCAACCAGTTCAACCTGATACTATCAACATCAACAATAAAAAAATGACATCTTTACTGTTTTGTTTTAAAAATAATTTCAGATTCATTTTATTATAACACGTGGGACATTGCTCCATTTCATATAGATACTTTACAGATACAATTTTTATTGCCAAATGCTACAGTGACCCCACTATATATACTTAATGTAAAAATGATCCACATAAATTTTCTCTATGAAACGCAAATAAAAAATAGATAATTGACATGCCTACAGCCTACTTCTGTGTTTACTTCAAATAGAGGAAAGCAACAGTGTCAGACAGTTCATAGTGGAAAAATGTTAAAATATTCATTTAATCCTTACAAAAATCATAAGAAACTATTCAAAGATGAAGAACTACATCTCAGGAGTTTAATTGATTATGAAGGTCATAGTGAAAGTTGAGTTTACTTGATTGGTACTAGATCAGTATGCCTTATATTCAATGCACTCAAGGGACCAGAGTAGAAAACATCTTGCATGTATATGTATATGTATATGTATATGTATATGTATATGTATATGTATATGTATATGTATGTGTGTATATGACAATGTGATGTATATATCACAGTGATATAGTGGTTTTTGTCCCACGACATCAAAATGATTTGGGCAGTTGTATTTGAGCAACTGTTATTATGATTGCTGTAGTTAGAATGATCTGCTCTATTTAGCTAGTGTCACTTCACTCAACTAATCCTATTTTATGGCTGTTGAAGAGTCTTGCTGTCTTAGAGCTTTACTCCTGTGAGCAGACACCATGACCAAGGCAACTCTTATAGGGACAACATTTAATTGGGGCTGGCTTACAGGATCAGCGGTTCAGTCCATTATCATCAAGGCCAGAGCATGGCAGCTAGGAGAAGCCTGGCTTCCAAGCAGCTAGCAGGAGGGTTTTAAAGCCCACACCCACAATGACACACTTCCTCCAACAAGGTCACAACTCTAAATAGTGCCACTCCTGGGCCAAGCATATTCAAACTACTACACTTGCTATACTTAATTATATGCTTCTCAGTATACTATTGATGTTATGGACTAAGCAACATGTGCACACTTCCTCTAAATTATCTGCCATGTTCTATAGATTAGTATGATGCTTTTAAAAGTAGACAAAATATTGATGTTTAGTGTTTCACAAAGCACTGAAATATTGAATTTCAGGAAGCATTTTTAAAAGTGTTTATATTTGTTTTTTTACTTAATGTGCATGAATGTTTTACCTACATGAATGTATGTGGACCAAGTATGTGCCTAGTGCCTACAGAGGTCAGAAGAGGGCATCACATCCTCTGGAGTGGTAGGGATGGTTTTGTGAGTCAGCATGAGTGCTGGAAAGGATGCTAGCATCCTCTTCAAGAGTGACAAATGTGCTAAATCACTGAGCCATCATTCCAGCCCCCAAGAAAGAAGTATTTTAAGAATATTTATGGTCCCCTATTAAAATATAAGAAAAATACTATTTCTGAATGCTCATCAGAAGTGTCAGTATAGGTACCTGTTTTTTTAGATTCTTGTTTCTTGGTGATTTATTTTTCTAGATATTTTCTGTCATCAGATTTCTTTGGAATATCCCTGAATATTCTTTTCCATTTATGTTAGTGTCATTGAAAAGCAGTTTCTGTGATGAGGTCATTTACACATTGACTTGTCTCTCTGTAGTGTCCCGGGAACTATGCCTTTTACCTTATGAACACATCTCACCCTTAAAGAGCTAATTTTTACAAACAAGGCTATTCATTAGCTCTTGATTTTTCGCTTGGGAGTTCAAACAGTTGAGTATGTGATGATGTATACAGTTTTTAAGTGTTCCTTGGTCTGAGCAGAGTTTCTTCCTATGACCTCATTCCCAATCATAACTCCTTAAATTTTCCAGCAGAGAGTAATCTTCAGGTGTGAAGGAATAAGACACAGTCTCTGCTTGATGCTGTTGTTTGTACCTGAAATGCTCCATGTTTTTATTATCTTCAAAAAAATAAAAAGATCCATCTCCGCTTATAGGAAAACGGAAGATAAAGGTGTTTCTGTCTCAGGCACTTGGATTGTGTCTGTTGTGTGAATGAGTTTTATATTATCTGGGAAGACTAAGTCATCTTTATTATTATGCTCTCTTTTCTCATTTAATTCTTTACAAACTTGACATTTTCATGACCTGCCAAATCCACTTCTACTAAATCATTTTCTGTGTTGCATTCAGACAGGCATCCTGCTGGTTTCATTGATTTCTTTAGAGGAGAGAAACCATACACCTGCCTAAGATTCACTTAATTACAGGGATGTCTGGAACAACCAAACATTCAATATATTCAAAAGGTTAAATCTCAAAACCGGTGTGTAAATGATGTTCCTTGATAAAGTTTGGACTGATGCAAGCCAACCTGAATGAGCTCAAATTGTCCCAGCACAGTTTCAGAGGGTTAGTCTATTATCTTGGCAGCAAGCAGCAAGTCATGGCACTGGAGTAGTAGTTAAGAGCTTTACATCTTGATCCACAGGCAGCAGGCAGAAAGACACTGGGCCTGGCATGAGCTAAGGTTTATATAATGAAGTTTATTTGAAAAACTAAAGACTAGTATCAAGTTCCAAAGCTTAAAACTGTGATGTTTGTTGTTACTGTATTAAGGTTGACTAATGTCGGGAAACTATCTTTTCCTCAAAATTTGAGAATTGATTATGATTCGGAATATCGGCAATCTGGGCAATAAAAAATGATCTGGCAGTTTTGCTTTATTATTGTGAGAAATGTGTAGTATCCTTAAAACTGTCTCACTTAATAGTTTGAAAGTACTGTCTGAATTCTAATATGTAATTTTTGAGCTTTTACAGATCTCAAATTATTACAGATATATGTCTTCCAATATTAAAGAAACAGGGTATATTTGAATTAGATTTGTATTGCCTATGTCATTGAGTTTCATCCACTACCACAATGATCTGTGATAGAAATGGCAGGTAGACATTGGAACTCTCGTTCAACATTGTCTCTCCAGTATTTAGCACTAAGTTGATGTTCAATAGAGTCAAAGTTCCAATTAGACAGGAGTAATTTTAAGACCTATTGCAAAATAAAGTGACCATAGACAATATAGTATGTATTTCTTTGTGAAAAAATGTTTTGAGATTATAATTTCATTACATTTCTCCCTTTCCTTTTCTCCCTCTAAACCCTTCCATAATCTCCTTCAAATTCACGGCCCCTCTTTTTACTAGTTGTAATTGCATACTGTATATTTGAAAATGGCTAAGAGAATATGTTTCTTTTAAATTTATTCTTTTCTCACAGAATAAATCCCAACCACAGCCTTCCCTTTTTCCCCCTCCCAGCTCCTCCCTTCACCCCTTCCACCTCTCCTTTCCCCAAGATCCACTGCTCCTCTGCTTCTCTTCAGAAAAGAGCAGGCCTCCCAGTGACATCAGCCAAATATGACATAACAAGATGCAATAAGACATAAACCCTCATATGAAGGCTGGATGAGGCAACCCAGTAGGAGGGGAAAAGTCCTATAAGCATCCAAAAGAGTCAGAGACACCCTTCCTCTTACACACACACACACACACACACACACACACACACACATACACACACACACACTGTTGGGAGTCTCACAGGAACTCTAGGCTAAAGAACCACAGCATGTATGCAGGGCCTGGCTCTGTGGTTGTCACTTCTAAATGTCCTCATTACCAAAATATGACAAATACATTAAATGATGGATATATCAATTAATGATATAATTATTCTGTAATATATCAGAATACTATGCAAACCACACATGCATATCACATGTGCAAATATTTTTCAGTTAATTTTAAATTAAGAAACAAAGAAGTCAAATAAAAGTCAGAGATTGCAGTCATCTATTTCTCTGAAGGCTTTCTGCATTGCTGGTGATCAAAATCAGAGCTTTGTTCATGCAGGGAAGTTCTCTACTCCTCAGCCATATTTCCAGTCCTGAAGACTGTTTTAATGTATAACTTCACCCTCAATTTCCTTTCCGCTACTTTGAATTATTTTTAAGTAAAATTAGATTATTTGTCTTCCCAAGAAACCCAAATGGAAATTATAGAACTAGCAAAATACAATAATAAAAAGAAGAAACATGCTGGTACTCAATAGTACAGCAGAGATGACAGAAAATAGAATCTGTATCTAGTGAAGCTATCTCTCAAGAATTAATGGAAAATAACGAGATTCTCAGTTAAAGGGGGTGGAATATCTTTACTTAGCAGGCATACCCTTGAAAACTAGCTAAAGGAATTACTTCTGAAATATAAAAGATGATAAAAAAGAAGGATCTTGAAGCATTAGGAAGAATGAAGGGACAAAAGGAAAGGCAGAAATACAAGTACATACGGGTGACTGCTTTAACTCATGAGTTCTGTGCATCATATGTGATGACTGAACAAAACGACATTATACCATTATCTTGTACTCCAGACAGTGACATTTAAGTGTGGAGAAGGCAAGTGGATCTAAATGTAAGTGAAATTTACACAAACCACTGCAACTAGGAAAATATTGACACCAGTATTGACAGTGGTTCGGTTTATCTTTTATTTAGCAGTGCTGGTTATTGAGCCCAGAGTCTTGTGTATGTTAGATGTATCATGGTGCTTTAAATCATATCTTCTTGTGTAGAGCACACAACCCAACAACAGCGTAATGCCCATTTCTCCCCTAAGCACCTATGGAACATTGACTAAAAGAGACCAAGTATTCAGCCACAAAACTTAAATGTAAAATAAGTGAAATCACAGAAAGCAACTTAATTGTGAGCTAGTAATGAGGGGAGGAGTTTGTAGCTCAGAGGTACAGGGTCTACTCAGCATCCACAAGCTGTTTTCCATCTTCAGTATCACAAACAGGTACTGAGGTCCCTCAAAAAATGTTTTTTCTCCATGTGAAATACTTCTATCACCGGGTGGTGGTGGCGCACGCCTTTAATCCCAGCACTTGGGAGGCAGAGGCAGGTGGATTTCTGAGTTCGAGGCCAGCCTGGTCTACAGAGTGAGTTCCAGGACAGCCAGGGCTACACAGAGAAACCCTGTCTCGAAAAACCAAAAAAAAAAAAAAAAAGAAAAAAGAAAAAAAAGAAAAGAAATACTTCTACCAACATTTTCTGTGTTAAAAGTTAAAACTGAAAAAAAAAGAAAAAAAACACACAACACATAATTCCTCTAGTCTCCAGATAAATGGCATTATTACTTGTTATGTAAATTTTGGTTCACTCCACTACATACTCATAAAAAGATGAAAGTCTATAAGAAGCCTGACATCTTTGTACTACTTTGGATATAATTTAGATCTTTCGGTAAGTCCATCATGGCTCTGCCCTCCAATCCCCCACACACAATGGTCTAGGGGTACAACAACTAACTTGTCCTAGTTTGCCTAGAATTTTCCTAGTTTTGGCTTTGGCTCTGACTTCTCCAATTCTTTAAATAAATGCTCTATATTCAAGGAACACTCTTGATCATGGGAAGTCTGGGTTGATTGTTCTCCATATCCAGATCTTTTAGTGTCCCTGGGTAAGACTGTAAGAAACTGTATATAACACAACTTTTACAGGAATTACCAGTTCAGTGCTATTATTGCTTAGCCATCACCTGTGGTTTGATCATCTTTATGCCAATAACTTGTTGATAGAAACCCTCTTTCCCATGTCTGTTGTCTGCTCATGTCTCCTATGTGTTTCACTGTGCTCTCTACCTGTCATAGATTCTCTAAACAAGATGTTTTGTATTTTGTGATGAAAATGTCATCAAAACATGAGTATGTACTACTAATTATCTGATGATTATAATTCCAGGTCAGGTCAGTATGGTGCAAGTGACCATCCCAGACAGTTTCGTGAATGTCACTGTTGGATCTAATGTTACTCTTCTCTGCCTCTACACCACCACGGCACCATCCCCGGACACGCTTTCCATCCAATGGTCTTTCTTCCACAATAAGGAAATGGAGCCAATATCCGTAAGGATTCTCTAATTAAATTATTCCCCCTTAGTAGTTCTCACTGGAAACTAACTGTTGGCATGAGAATATGAAGGAACAGTGAAGTATGAAGGAACTACTGAGATCAATGACAAAAGTTGAGACACGGGGTTTTTAGGTAGCTGTTTAGTGAAGACAGTTAGTATCGGTTATCTCAGTTTTGTATACTCAGCATCGTGTGTGTCAGGTACTCCAGAATAGCCACAGGCCTTTTCATAGGTAAAATAAGCAGGAGCACTTAAAGGACATTCTACAAATATCTCATTATTTTCAGAAGATCCCAGTTCATGTGTAAATCCTAAAAGATCTGAAGAGCTCTGTCGAATTTAATAACTGGGATCTGCCTGACAAGGGAGTTGGCACATTGTTCCTGATTGAGTCTGACAATTTGAGATTCCCCAGATTGGTGGAGAAGGTCCATGGTAGTAATGAAATCCATGTTATTGTGGGCAGGATGAAGTTAGAAGATAAAGGATGGAAGGGATGGAGAAAAGGTTCGTGAGAAGTTGCCAGCGTAGGGTAGGGGAGCACCTATGTGAAAGGAGGATTCCACAGGCAAACTGCCTATCACCAGATTGCCTTCATTTGGCCTTGAGAATAATTCCTTTTGAAAATTATCCCAAGAGCTAAAATTGTATTACATGGAGTTGTGTGTACATCCGTGCACATGTGTATGCAAACAGATATACCATTCATGCCTCCATACATTCCTTGAAGAAAAAGGTCTACAGTTAACAGGTTCTCAGAATGACTCATGGCCCAAAATAATAAAGAGAACAACACTGGTGGTTTTGAATAGCCAACTGCACCTGAGTTGGGCTTTGTCAAAAAGCGGGGGTTGGTTTAGTAGATAAGGGAGTGAAGCCTAGAAGCAGAAGTGGAGAAGGAAGCCAGGAGCTCAGAGGAGCTACTTCTTGGCCAGCTACGCTTCAGCTCCCACTGACTCTTTGTAAGTACTGAATTTCTCTACATGACATTGTGAACATTTCCTTTACAGAAAACATCACCCACAGGGAGACTCCATCAGTGCTACCTGGTATTCAGAGTTAAACAGTTTCATTTACAGTAGACAATATGGGTATCACTCCATGCCTCTCTTTGAAATACAGTAGGATGAAAGTATTCATGGGAAATGATCTGACATAAGGCATATGAAAATACTTGAAAAAACATAATCTGCTCTCATTTTTATCCCATGCAAACAGCAGCAGCAGCAGCAGCAGCAGCAGCAACAGAACTATCAGCAGAAAATAACAACCAATTTCCATCACCGAAAATATCTGGACATGTTTATGTCAACTAAGAAATAATGCTTTCCCCCACAGGTTGTTTTCACTAAGATAATCACATGATCTCTTCTTTTTAAAATTTGATTTCTTAGGAGTCTTTTCAACACATTGTTCATACACTTGAAATCCTGCTCAGTTTTCTAGTGGTGGCTGATTTGGGAGAGGCTTCAGCATCTTTCGAGATGTCTTATGCTCGGTACTCAATTCAAGATGTCCTCCATTTCCTGGCGGCTAGGCCAAGCAAATCTGTGCTCAAGAGTGCACATCCCCCACTTTGCATCCTCTGATTCTGGCTCTACAGAGCCATCTCTTGACTGAACTCTAGCCACTTAAAAGCTGGTAGAGAATTAGGACTAGCAATGAACTTTTCTCAGAAAGAGACTGCAAGGGGAAAAGCTTTAGGCAATCATAGCGAGCGTGGCTTAAACTCAGGACTTCTCTTAGATGAACTTAAAAAAAAATCTATTGGCAAATGTTTGATGAATTGCTTCCTTCCTTGCCAAATCAAATGAAGCCCTTTCTCCTGAGCTGCTAGAGCAAATGAAAAATGCTTGAAACTTGTGCAATGGCCATGCTGAGGAAGAGCAGGGCTCCTGGAGGACAAGGATGGTGAAAAACTCTTGCCAAAGCACAAAGTTCCTTGTCTTGTTTGCCCACCCTGTTTCAGCTTACCTGCCCTTGCCAGATCCCCACCACAGCCCTCTCTTAGCCTCTGCTTCTAGATAACTGGCTTTCCTCTCCTCTCCCTCCTCTTCCCCTTCCATCCCTCTCCTCTTCTCTCATATCTTGTGTGCATGCATGGGCTTTTCTTTAGGATCAGAGTCCCAGTAGAAACCTCTGGATGGATGTCAGTTCTGTCTCCTAGTTGCTGGCTGGATTACCCTAGACAAATCACTTGACTTTTTAGAGATTCAATTTTCCCTCCTGTAAAACGGAGCAGCTACTCACCTCTCTGATAGTTTAATGAAAAGATTGAATGAGATGGTTTTTGTGGAACACAGGGAAGCCTTCTAGCACAAACTTTCAGTGAATATGAGCTATTATAATTAACATCACCATTCATAAGATTTATTTTGCAAAACTATCTCGCCCATGCCCTAGCTGTATTGGATGGACTAGAGAAACAGCCCAACAAGACACACTTAATATAACTGTATAACTCAGCAGAGACAGAGTCTAGGGATTTCCTGGTCTTGGTCCCGAGTTGCTGTCCCTACCAGATCCCTAATGACTTGGGGGGAAAATCCAACCCCTTTTCTCTGCTACTTCTCATTCCCAAGAAGAACTTGGTCAGCTAAGAGTTTGCAGGCATCCTAGGTTGAGATAGTAGTTTTCAAAATAGAATTTAGATTTCATTCCTGTGCCTTCTTTGCTTAAGCATTTCCATGAATTCAGACTTCTGTAGAACACATTGTAAGTTCATCTAGTGAATGTTGGGGGTGGGTATATATTTTGGGGATGTTGAGATGGCTAGGCTAGAGATATAGCCCAGTTGGTATGATGCTTGCATGAAGCTCTGGGTTCAGTCCCTAGCACCACATAAACCAGGCATGGTAGTGCATGCCTGTACTACTAAAACTCAGGAGGTAGAAGAAGGAAGATCAGAAATTCAAGGTCATTCATGGGTTTCTAATAAGTTCAAGGCCAGCCTGTGATACAGAAAATGCCCTCTCAAACCTCCCCAGCTCATGTATATGTAATAAAGACAGCTGTTTCTAGGACATTCTGTGGTATATTCGAGTAAAGTGTTGCTAGTCTGACCACTGAGTGATTTAATTCAACTCATAGGTTGATGTAGCAATACAGCATGTAGCATTCAGCTCTCAGATCCACTCATTTCTGCTCAAACACAGCATGGCTCGCACCCCAAAACTGAGGGTATGGAGGAAAAGGCAGTCAGTCAGTGTCTAAAAATGATGCATGCAAGAGACGCTCGGGGAAGATGTAGCTGGACCTCTCAGGTAAGAAAACCCATTGGTGTACTACTAGACCCCTGCACTAATTTCAGTCTAGGACACTAGACTTGCCTTAGAAGTGGGATGAGAGTGTTTCTGTTTGATAACAATAGAACTTCATGTATGCTCTCTATAACTCTGGGGAAGGTTGTTTTGTTGTGGTTTTGTTTTGGAGATAGGTTTTGTTTTGCTATAGAATGCAGGCTGGCCTTGAACTTAGCAGCCTCCTGCCTCAGCCTACAAGTATTGGGATGTGTATTGTTTGTGTTAATAAAAACAAGAGAAGTATGGGCTTAAGAGATAGCTCAACACTTAAGAAAACTTGCTACTATTGCATAAGACTTGAGTTTGATTCCCAGCAGCCATGTTAGATGGCTCACAATTGCCTGTAACTCAAAGTCTGAGGGATCCAACATCCCTTTCTGGCCTCCTTGGGCACCTGCACTTAAACACACACAACCACATACAGATACACATGCATACACATAAATACATTTGTAAAAATAAATAAAACCTAGAGAATTTTTTAGTTTTCTCTTCTCATGGCCATGCCTGGAACTCTTAATCCTCCTCCAGAAGACTCGGAGGTCTATAGCTGCTCTGACCAGGCGAGTGGCCAGCTTTTGCCCCATGTCTATCTTCGACTTTTCAAAATCATTGCATTAAAAAGCAATTGACTCTGAGGCCCAGTGTTTCCCAGGACCCAGGGCCAAATACTGTGTCTCAATGTCCTCTCTAGGGAAGTCCCTTTGGTGCATGGAAACTGCTCTTTCCATAAGCACTCTGATCCTGAGGACAGAGTTTCCATTTGGTCTTCCTTTCAGAAATGCCCTGTGTCTAAAAATATGGACAGCTTCACTCCATCCCTCAGGGGATAATCTCTGAAAACATACCTGGTACAAACAGACTAACCAAGAAGTTTTGGGAAATCTGGTTACCTCTCTGTCCATAGATGCTTCCCTCTTCTGCCTGCCTTGCTATTGCTAAAACTAGAGACAACACTTACCCATGAAGAAAATGTACAGCAACACTGCTTAGCATGGCTGTGTTAGACAACTGTCTCCTACAATCTGTATAATAGAAGAAATCCTCCATCATCTTCATGTCCATTTCTCCAATTTGGACAACTCCTTCCCCAGAGTTGAATGTCTTCATATTTTTTGGCTTCTTGCATTTTTAAATCTGTTCTGTCCTCTGTAGGTAACATTATTTTGAATATTTCTGTAACCTTGAAGGGGGGGTGTTTCATCATTTCAGGGGAATTTAATAATAGAGAGGGCATTGATTTGATTTTTCAGGACTTGGAGTCCTTAGTGACATTTGGTGAGTGCCAGCTAGAGATGCTAAATGCTCTGCAAATACATGCAACAGAGCCACCCAACAAATGGCCAAAGTGCTACTGTTGCTATCAGAGAACCTTTTAAGTCTCCCAGCTCTTTGTACTAATGCTGATCTATTCTGGGCTTCATTTCATTTCTACTGAAGAAGTACACTCAAGCAGAGACCCTCCATGATTTTATCCAAAATAGTCACTCAAATGGTGGACATCTCAAGCAAATAACAGAGAGCGTTTTTTTGTGGTATTCTATTTCTATTGTGTATAGCCATAGCCTCCATAGCACAGACATGAGAAATTTCTGGGCCTGAAGCCCTTTGCCACTTTCCAACCCATGTCTAGCTGCTTTGGGAGCAAAAGCAAGGAGCTGGAAGGGAGGCAAAGGAAAGAATGTGCGGTTTAGCTGAGGACTCCCAGGCTTCCATATCTCCCCAAGGAACCTGGAAAGCAGTTCTGGAAGCTAAAGGCCTTTAGTAAATCCAACTCTGACTTAAATAGAAAGCAGATGGGATCCGTTCATGCCTTCTTGCTCATACATCAAGCCTCTAGTTTGAGAGCTGTGCTGTAAAATTGAGGCAACAACTGGCTACCAGCTGCACAGCCTCGTGTGACTAGAAACTTGGCATCAGAGGTAGAGGAAGGCTGCTGTGCAAAGAGACCGGGAGCCTGCAGTGCAGCTGGAGAACACAGGGTGCATCATGTGGCGAAACTGTTGTTCATCATAGGAAGCACCAGACCAGGGAACTGCAGAGACTGGCATGGAAAGAAAAGGGAGACTGGCATAGGCAATGGAATGGTCCCAAAGGGGACGGTAAATCATCCCCCTTGTCTTTGGCAGGACTGAGAGTGCTCTCTTAGTGCATACTGTGAGAGTCCTGAGGCTTGGATTCTAGGTCTGACTGTAAATTGACTGTGTGAACTTGGGGAAAATCACTTCCTCTCTTAGGGCCTCAGTGTCGTCTGTAATAGATGAGAATGAATCAGACTTTGCAAACTGGAGGCTTTGGGGCCTGAGTTGGCCAACAGATGTATTTAGGTTGGCTAGGCCAGCATTTTCTTTCCACAGGTTATGCCAGCTCCTCAGTAATAAATACCATGGTCCCCTCAGGCCTTCTTAAGCCTACCCATACTTATAGACCCCTCCCCAGCTTGTTCTCATATTTCCAGTATCCATCCAGCCCCTGAGAGCTCCTGAACCTCTGTGACATGAACTAAGTGATCTCAAAGAGGATGTAATCACTAATAGACTCTTGTGACTCTACCCACCAGCCACCAATAAAGAGGGCAGAAAGAAGAAATATTGAGAGAAAGCAGGGCTTTTGGTCATGAACATGGGCACAGGCAGGAATGAGTATAATTTTAACAAGTACTACTTTGGGAAACATTGGTATAGATTTTCTTAAAGCAGGCCTCCTCTCATCCCTGCCTGTAGAACACATGAGGCTTTTCCTTGGCCTCAGTTGCTTTGATCTCCAAATTGACTATATCTATATCCATATTCATTATTCTGCTTTAATTTTCTTTTACTTAGCTTTGATTTTTAAGTATTACTCTTTTGTGGAAAGTGAAACCAACTTGTAGTCCTTCCAGGGTGATATTAGATAAGCAGTTTGGAAGAAACCTTTGTTTGTTTGTTTGTTTGTTTTCTTCCCAAGGATAATGAGAACACAGTGGGTTTGCCCGAGCAGAAAGCCCCTTCATCTATGTGTCTGGCTATGTAATACTTGTGACTCTCCTCCTCCTCAGACAACAGCCTGAACTCCAGGTCTCCTGTGTCATCCCTTTAGTGTCTGTTGTCTGTGAGGGACATATTGATTGGACTGCAGTGTAAGGAGGTGGATGGAAGGAATGATGGATAAGTGACATGTCTGAGACCTCACTGTTTACTTACCTGCCACTTTCCCCTTGATTCAGGTCCCACTAGACTTTTACAGTTGCGTCTTTCCATTTAATTTTTTCCAAATTTTATTTATTTGTTATTTATTAAGACAAAGTCTCCCTTGTAAGTCATCCTGGGTGTGTACTTGTGATCGTTTTGATTCCAAGCATGTGTCACCATGCCTGGTCTCAGATATACCCTTCTATGACCTAGTCCTTGCCTAAAAGGTCCTCTTGGAGCCTCATCTCTGCATAATCAAGGTCCTTTCATCTAGCCCCTCTAGAGCTTTCTGTGGTAGGATTGATGTTATGTCTCACTGTGACATCATCAAGCATCATAAAGTGGGGCTGACCTGTTTCTCCTTGGGAGCAGAGGGACTGGCCAGAGGCGCAGGTTGTAAAGGGCTGTCTTGATGGCAGTAGGCTGGGTTTCAGGTAAGAGCAACAGGATCTCATGCTGCCCATTCATAAGTAAATAGATGTAGTGTTGCCTGTCAGTGTAGTAAAGTCTTTTGATAAGTTAAATCTACACCTACCTCATTTGAATACCTTGAGTTACTCTGGTAGCTTTCTGGTTGGTCAAACACTGCTCCCGGTTAAGTTTGGGCAGAACATGGCATAAATGAATGAACTATATAAGGCATCATGTTTAGGGCATAGAAGAATGATAGAGAAAACGATGGAGAGAGGAAGTTGTTTTCACTTTAATTGTCCTCATTTTTTTTGAAAATGTCCTTGTTGGTCTTTCTGTACAGAGGCAGAAAGGCACATTTGAGTTCTACTAGACACTAACATTATCTTCCTTTTTTTTTTGACTCTTTTTTCTTTTTAAGAGATTGATAAGGTAAAGACCCCTGGGGAAGAAATTAGGGGAACTACTTCTCCTTCTGTTTAAATTGGTTTTACTTGTGTGTCGCCATTTTTATTCAGTTGAGGCTGGTGCACAGGAGATCAGCCAGGCTAGGCCAGTGCTCTACCATTGAAAGCCCACCCATCCTCTCAGCTGTTGATTTTGTTCCATTTTTAAAACCTCCCTTGGCTTCAGTTTCTTCTATAAAATGAGGCTAATGAATTAAATGAACCAGAAGAACCATCTAGAAGAGTTTATGAAAATAACTTGTCTCATTAGACTAAAGCAATCCCAGTTCGTGGGACATACATTGGAATCACTGAATGACATATATTTATATTAATTTCGCAAACTGTCTACACAGAATATGTATATTGTGAAGGGAACTCAGGTCTTATTATCTCATCTAGTGATTCCCAAGTTACAGTCACTCATGCCCTAGCCTCATAATTTTTGTCATATTTGTGTATTCCCAGAACTTCATTTAGTTAATAGTTTCTATACTGACTGGGACTTTTAAAATATTAAAATCTTAATGTCACCTAAGCAACAATATCTATAAGGTTACATATTGTATGCTAGATGGATTTCTCTTCAACATTAAAATTAGTAGGCATTCATTCAGATATCACTGAAAATCAATGTCCTACTTTGGAACACATTGCTCTGGCTCCTTGTTCACAGGTGGAAACTAAAAGGTTAGACAGATTAGCTATCTTTGCTTCTTATCACTCAGCAAGTTGCTATGGAGGCATAGCTAGGGAACACTTCATGTGACCACATCACAGTCAGAGAAAGAGCTGTGGACCAACCTAGATTATGTGATACCTAGGCCAGACTTCCTTGTACCACATGATTCTTACCCTGTGGTTACCATGACATCTAAACTACATGCTATTTCATGGAGATGAGAGTAGAATTCAGATCTTTCTTAAATCAAATTAATTTTTTATTGTAAAATTTATTTAAAAATTTTTTTTGCTATATAATAGTATCTTTTTGTTATTTTTAAATTTAGTATATGTCTACTGTATTACAATATTACTCCCTTTGGCCTCCTCTATCCATCCTCTCCCGAATCTTCCCTTTCCTCTTTGGTCCCTCTTAAATTCGTGGTGATTTCTCTGTCATAATTATTATATATGAATAAATATATAAATGTAACCCATATAGTGGTATATATATATATATATATATATATATATATATATATATATATATATATATATAGGTACTGAATAACCAATTAGAGGGCTCATCAAGGTGAGATCCTGATTCTCCCTCTTTCAGTAGTCACTAAGTCCATGTAGCTCTTCTTTGTGTAATATGTTTTGATCATATTCACCCCTGTCCACTTTCCCAGATTCATCACTTCCTTCCCTAGCCACTCCATTTTGTGTCCTTTCTTTTTTCTACTCATCAAATCCAGTTTGTGCTGCCTATATGTTCTTGAATGGGCGACCTTCCACTGGAATGCAGTTGACTGACTTATCAGAGACAGTATTCTTAAAACTGACTCTCCCTCTGCCAGCAGTGATCAGTTGCCAGTTGCTTCTTGGCTAGGGGTGGACTTCGTGCCCACCTTTTCTCTCCATGCTAGGATTTGGCCTTTCTTGAGTATGCTTGAGAACGTTTTAAAAGACAATCTTGTTATATAACTTAGGTGGTTCTCAAAATCATAGTGTTCCTGCTTCAGCTTCTAGAGAATGAGACTTTAGGTTTATGCCACTGCTTGGCTCAAGTCCAGTATGTTGTGAAGATGACAACAGTAACAAAATGAATCCTGTGCCCTCAGATGAGTCATCTGAAGTTCTTAATTCTCTTATTTGACATGGAAAGATGGTAGCTAACATGGACCAAGTGCACTGTTGGCCTTTTACTAGTTTATGTGGCTTTATCTTACCACTTGGAACGAATGAGACTAAGTGATTTCTCAAGGACTATTCTACCTTGAAGTTTTATATTTCTAACAAACAAACAAAAATCCATGTGTGCTTATCTAAGAGGTATGTGTGCATGAAAGGGACACAGACATTTAAACTTCTAGGTAAAGCAGTCTCATTGGGCAAGGTAAATGTGAATCAGAAGTTCATGAAGTGGTAAATATCTCTTGAGCTGTATCTTATCTGCCATTACATGAAGAGCTTCTACAGGGTAAACTGAGCAGGTGAGTATCTTGTTCTCCTAGCCCAAGGTTAGAAATTAAATTCTCTGAACTCCAATTGTCCTCTCTTCTGTAAAATATGCTTACCAGTTCCTGCCCTAGTGACATCATAGAGCTGGTCAGAGGCAAATGAGGAAACGGCTAGCAACAACAGAAAGTTAAATGCCCCCCACTGAACTGAGAAATCTAGGCTCCCTGGAACACATATAGAAGGGACTTCCTGGTAGCTTATCTTCATCTTGGATACTCTCCGGTTCTCATTTGAATTATTTTTCTATCCTAGATCTACTACTCTGAAGGTGGACAGGCTTCAGGTATTGGGCAATTCAAGAATCGAATAATAGGGGCTACCAATCCTGGTAATGCATCTATCACCATACTGCATATGCAGCCAGCAGACAGTGGAATTTACATCTGTGATGTCAACAATCCTCCAGATTTTGTCGGCAAAAACCAAGGCATCCTTGACGTCACTGTCTTAGGTATGGACATTATTATCATGCCTTTTCTTTTCTTGAAGCAACTTAGGACAGTGAATGAGTCAAGTCACTGGGCTATGGTATCAATTATATCCCTGGAGCTAATTGTCCTCCCTCCTCCATTTATTATCAGAGATAGTTTTATTAATTTAAATTTCATTTTATTAATGGAGACAGCATTCCAACTCAACCAATATAGTAATACCTAAAAATTACCATAAAATGTACTGAAACAGTAGCCACTAAAATGATATAGTAAATAACATAACCTTTATGCAGCCTATAGCTCAGAAGAATACAGTGAGCCACTCATTGATCCACAAAATTATCACCAGTAATTCTTTCAGGAAGAACTTGTACTTAGAGCCACACTTAGCTACAAGAAACAATTGTCAACCTATTTATTCCCTTTTCCAAACCTACTATTCTTCTCACCATGAAATCATTCTTTCAAACAAAACAGAAGAGTCCACTTTTAATCTATCTGTCTGTCTATCTATTAATTAATTCATTCATTTTTTTATTTCATTTCATTTTGTTTTGAGGCAGAGTCTCATGGAGCTATAGCCAGCCTTGAGCTTGCTATATAACGGAGAATGATCTTGAATTTTGATTAAGGGGGCGGGGCTCCCTTTTCAAAATGGTAATGCTATATAGGAAAATGATACTTGTTAAGCCATTAGAAGAATTAAGTTAGGATGGACACATATTTATTATATGACATTGGACAAATCATATCCACTTTCAGAATAGACTTGGAGAAGTTCATTCATTCAGGATTTATAGTGTCCCTACTTTGTACATAAAACAGTAAGCTTGGTAGTGATGGAGAAATGACTTTTGTCCTTGAGGATCACTCAATGGTTGTTGTTGTTATTTGTCTGTTTGTTTGACTGATTGGTTTTGAGGGATCATTCCAACTCTTGAGAATACTAAAGACCTAATTGCAGACTGAAAATAAAGAAAATATTAGAGGGAAAGAAGGGCTTGAAACCCTTACAAGTAGCCCCAAATGGAGCTGTTTTGAGTTTGACTATTTGCATCATAGGAAAGGAGACCCTAGGCCAAATTACTATGTAGTTGAGGGGCTTAAAAATTGGCAACAAGGTGCACATCTAAAAGAACTATCCACAGTTGTCTTGCTACCTGTGTGATACTAAAAGGAACCAATTGATGCCTTCTATGAACTCTGTCATTGCATCTATTGTTCTGAAAAAGAGGGACATGTTACCCAGGAGGTAATGTTTAAGAGTGGTTTTCTCAGGTAGTTGTTTTTTATTGTGCTTGCCTTATGCTAGGCATTAGGGTAAAGAACTAGATGAACCCATTCCTAGAACAGCTTATGTTGCAGCTCAGAAGACCAGTCATCTGTATGGGGAATATAGTGTGGCGAGAATGCCAGAAACCATGAGACTGGAAATCAGAAAACTTGGGTTCTAGAAGGCCTTTCTCTGTTCTCAGTGACCTCAAGCAATGTAGTCCATCACTCCCTGACCACTGTAAGATAGATTTTAAGTCTGCCTCCTTTACTGATTTATTATGAGAATTCAATTAGGTGCTGGGGATTAAAGGCCCTTTTAATGTTCAAGTAATTTGAGGGATTAATCCTCTAATGATTTTCTGTTGCTGCTGTGTCTCTGCGGTGATCTGAGCAGAAGCAATTGTCAAGAAAAGGCTTGGAAGTAGCCCTGAGCTAAGCTACTCAGGAAGGTTAATTTTCTTAAAATTGAAGTTCAGAGGATTCCCAGTGAATTTCCATAAGCTAAAGCTACCTTAAGCTAGTTTTTGGTTTGTTTGTTGCCCTATGAGCCTTTGGGTCATTGCCATGACTTGGTCATAATTTCCTTGAAGCAGCCAGAATCCATAAACTGAAGATGCTGAACAATCTAAAGATTTCTTTTTTCTAGACACAGTAAAAAAATATTTTCATTAATAAAAGATTATCTTATGATTTTTAACCTTCCAGAAGTAGTGATAGTAAATTATCTCTAAATTTTCAAACTCGGTTTGCAGTTCTCAAATCCCATTGCATATCAACACCCTGATTGGGCCTGGACAAAGTAGAGATGGGTGAGTTGGAGAGACCAGTTGTTCAGAAGAATTATTGATACTCCATTGCAGATGGCTCTTCATATCGCTACATTTAAAAAAAAACTCTTTATTATTGTAATGAATTCACAAATAAAAGTGCCACATAGCTAGATTATGGTAACCATCCAAACAAACACTTGCCCAGGCCCAAATTCAGTGAAAACTCAAGTTAGAATGGCCATGCTGAACCCATGGGGCATTGCTTATGCCTTTCTTTATCACTGTCATTTGTATTATTGTGAACTTAATTTGGCACAAGAAAGAAAAATATCTATGAGGGAGTTGAACCTAATAGTACCATTTTTTGGTCTCCTTTCTAAATGTTACACTACACCCATGTGTATGGTACGCAAAATGTTATACTATACCCATAATGTGTATATGTTTATGGGTAAACAGCTGTGATGGTAGGTATAGTGTAACAATGCATCTTTGAGAGACATTTATTGCCCAACATGGCCATCAATTCTGTGTATTTACTTTGCATTCAAGAGTTTCTCTTTCTTTCTTTCTTTGCATTTATGAGTTTCTTAATCAAAGCCAGAGAACATGTTTCAGTTACTGTTCTAGGCAGTGGAAATAGTAAGATGTCAAAGATAGGGTCTCAGCCCTCTAGAAATCTAATCTCGTGAAAAGACAGATTGCAAAAAAGCTTTCAGTGGGTGTTTTGAGGGGAGAGCTGTGAAGGCACAGGTCAGGTGTGGATAACTTCAAAAGGAGAACTAGAGAAGGCTCATCAGGGAAAGAGAGTTTTGTGCTGGTCAGGGAATTATGACCAAGAGTGTGTCCGGCAGAGCACAGACTGAAGTGTCAGGTTACAATTCACATAAAGAAAGCAGCAGTGAACAAAGAAGCAGGTGTTTTGGTGGGTGGCTATTTATTTAAGAGATTTCCAGTAGTCATGACAACTTTGGAAAATCCATCTCTGAAAAATTCCCAGATCGACTCTGAATAATTATTATGTGTACATTTGGAATAGACACATCTCCATTCTGCAGTTTGCCACATAAAAATTATTAATTTAGAGGAGTTTTGTGAGCACACGGAAGCATTTTCATTTATCTTCTGAGATGAACCTTTTCCTTCCATCCCAATTCTGATGAAAGCAATAAAGCCAAAGGGTAGATCAATGGCTTTGCCAATAAAACATACTAGCTCTTTTGGGGACTTTAACTGGATGAAATGTCAGCTCAATTCTGATTCAGTAGTTTTAGAAGATATATAGGAATACAGCTTGTCTCAAAATGAGTCACCTAGTGTTCTGTTAATAATAAAAAGAGAAAGAGAGAAGGAGAAAAAGAAGAAGAAGCCTAATCTGGGTTTGAATTTGGACTCAATGTACAAGTGCCAGTTATTCTAGATTGTTGTCTATAATTTAGTCCTAGTGCCTGACTTTTTAATATTAAAATATCCACGTTTTATTGTTCAGATTGTTCTGTTCTAATACAGGGGCTATTTTTTTAAGACACTAAGCCTAGTCATAGTTGAACGATATGGTTAATTGGCCTAGTTTAAAGTAGGTTAATCAAGTTTTTCTCATCTCAGAAAGCCATTGATATGGAAAAGGGATTGAAATCTAAGTAGAAAATACTCTAAATCAAAAGATATTAGTTTTCAAAGACTAGTGAAGCATTTTGAAGAGTTGTGCTTATACACATCTGTCTTCTTTGTGTGTAACAAGGGTTCGAGTCTGAGATGGCTTACCAGAGCAGAAGCTTATAAAAGATTGATTTCAATAGCAAAAATTAGTCTAAGCCACAGCCAATATCAATTCCATGTACAAGTCCCTGTTTATGATATTTACATTTGACCAGCTAGAACTTAGACCATTTCTTATTTATGTTTTATAGATGAGTCAAACTGAGGTTTAGTTTCAATTAAGTAACTTGCCCAAATACCTATTATGTAAAGTTACAGAGTTGGCTTTCTAAGATGGGAAAACCTTGATTTGCCTGCCTTAAACTAGGTCATTTAGCCATATCATCCAACTATGACTAGACTTAATATCTTTTTAAAAAAAATGCTCTAAATGTTATAGCCCCTATATTAGAACAGAGCAATTTGAACAATAAAATGTGGGTATTGTCCAAGGAGAACCTAAGGCATGAGTAGTCTGAAGCATTTAAAGTGTAAATTTCATAAGTTTGAGCGTGTTAACCACTAGAGAGGTAGTTGTTATAATCCAAGTTAAGATAAGGAAGAAGAGCTAGGTATAGTGGCATATGCCTGCAATTCTAGCACTTGAGAGGTAGAGGCCAGATGATCATGAATTGAAGGTTTATCTTCAGCGACACAGCAAGTTTAAAGTGCGCCTCGGCTACATGAAACCTTGCCTCAAAGACTCACAAACCAATCAACCAAACATAAAACAAAAGGACAGATGTTAATTGGAATGTGTAGAATTTATGATCATATCCCTGTATGTCATTTAGGACAGAGTAGGTGACACAAAGTGAGGAGGATGGGGAGACTGTGACTCACAGCTATCTACAGAACGTCTCCATCCAAGGGCTGTCATAAATAGCTGAAAAGTCAGCATGTGGCAAACTACCCCCAGTGTCACTCCTCCTCATCCCTTCCTCTAAAACTTGTTCTTCTACCCGAATTCTTTATCTCGGGCATCAGCACTGATCATGGACCCAGGAGCAGAAGCCTGGAACTACCCATCAGCTATCCCCTCTTCATCATCCTCTGTAGCTAGCTGGCCACTAGCTCCTGTTGACACCATTTTCTTAATACCTCTTGAATGGCTTTTCACTGGGCTCAGGAACCCTTCATATCTGAGAGCTCCATGTGAAGTATTAGAAAAATCACTATCCCTACCTTTCTTAAACCCATGGTCTCCCTGTTCCCAGTATAAAACACGTATAATACAGAGTCCTTCTAGGTGCAGGCCTCCAGTGTTCTGTAACTCCATCTCTCATTATCCTCAACCCAATTTCAGAACTGTCATCGAGTTGCTTTTGAATCTGCAGTGCCTAGTCTAGTTCTAGACAGATAGAAGGCACATAGCTAAATGCTTGCTGAGTGACAGAAAGATTGCAGCATCGTATAGCACATATATGCAAAATGGGCTTCTGCTGAGGAGAAACAGAGAGAAATTCAAAGCCTCCCAGCAAGTTTGGGTCACCTATAGATGAATAAATGAAAAATTACCTCACAAAGGAATAGAGAATGCAATATTGATGGAATATTTCAAAATTTATTTTCTGGAAAGGGTTCTGTTTTCATTTAAGACTGCTTTTGAAACATAAGCTATGTTTCTACTCAGAGTTTGCTTACCTTTGGCTGCTTTAATAAAGGCATATTTTAGGATACAATGAGGAAATGCATGGTTATAAATCCGGGAAAGAGGCAGACAGAAGAGACACTATTTGAATCTTAATGGGCTCCTGACTAGATGGTCCCTGCAGCTGAAGTGCTCTACTCCCATCTGGTGGTACAATTAGAAAACTGTCCCCTAAAAAAAAAAAAAAAAAAAAAAAAAAAAACAACCTTTTTAAAGACTAAACTAAATAGACTAAATAAATGTATGTTCTCTTGGTTTGTGACACAAAAGCGAGAAAAAGACTGCAATGGGCACAGACTGCCATTTTCTTGCAAGAATCTTAATCTTTGCCATTGCCTTACAGTCAAACCTTCCAAGCCCTTTTGTACCATCCAAGGAAGACCAGAAGCAGGCTATCCTATTTCCTTGTCTTGCCTTTCTGCCTTTGGAACACCGTCTCCTGTGTATTACTGGTATAGGATTGAGGGGAACACCATTGTGCCAGTAAAAGAAAGCTTCAGTGAGTATTGCCTTTCAGAACTTCTGGATTGGCCTGGTGTTAGGGTTGCTGAACGGTATGTCCTGTCTGCTTCTCGTCTGAAGTACTCACCTAACAGTATGTGCTGTCCGATGCTTGTCTGAAGTGCTCAAACATTTCTTCTCTTGATATCAGTGTGTGTATGTGTTTGTATGTATATGTGGGGAAGAGGTGTGCTTAAAATGATGCCTGTCTCCTAACATGATGATTGTGGCATGTCTATTTTTCAGAGTGCAGAATTCATCTGAGAGGTAGTCGGGAGGGTCTGTGTTGTAGGGCTACTTTTAGAGCCTCCCAAGAGACCTAGTTGGATCCTGTCCATCAGGAGAGGCCACTGTAAGAAAGCAGGTTGGAATTAAGCAATGTAAACTGAGATGACAAGAGATCTTAAACATGTTTTTCCTGGTTTTGACAGACTCAGCCACTGGAGTTTTGGCTATTGGAAATCTAACAAATTTTGAACAAGGTTATTACCAGTGTACTGCCATCAACAGTCTTGGCAATAGTTCCTGTGAAATTGACTTAACCTCTTCACGTAAGTTGACCATATGACTTTCATACTTTATCCTTGGGTCAAGTTGCTTGGGCCTACCAGTTGAGCACATTTACTAGAATCTCTCTTTAGTCCTTCTTGCTTCTCTAGATATTTATGTGTTTTAGTGGTAAGTTGATATGATGAATGGCCATCCTAGTCTCTAATATCTACATAATATATCCATTAAATCATTTACTGTGTAGTTTACTTAGGCATCACATAATCATTAGAAAGTAGGTATTCTTGTTTGATAAATAAAAACAATGGTGTTATTAATAGTCTAGATGCTCTTTCTTAGGTAGCTTTTTGGCTATCTTTGTCAAATGTATAGCTCTCAAACTTCCTGCTTAAGATTAGCCTCCAGAAAACACAGGGAAATATTTGAAGATATGGTACAAGCGGAATTTTCTGACAAGGACTTTGGTAGCCCCGGAAATAATAGCAAGAACAGATAAACGAGCTTGCTCTTGTGTGAAATTTAAAAGCTTTTGTACAGCACAGAAAATAACAAACTGAAAGAAGATGCAGCCTAGAGAATGGAAGGAAGTATTGTCCAGACATTTAGCCCACAGAGGATTGATACCCAGAATATATGAAGAACTTAAAAAAAAATCCAGGGATAATCCAGTCAATAAATAGGTGTTTTGTACAGACAGGTCTCAGAAGAATTACAATTAGGCAACAAGTATATGAAAAAAATGTTTAATGTTTTTTTTTTTACCATCAGAAAATGCACTCCAGAATTCTGGTGAGCTTCCATTTTACCCCAGTTATATGACTATTATCCAGAAATCAAACAACAAATTTGAGCAAGGCTATGGAAGAAAAGGAACTGGTTCCCACACTGCTGATGGGAATGTGAAGTAGAGCAACCACAACAGAAACTGGTATAGAGGATCCTCAAAACAAACAAACACCAGTAGAGCTACTGAGCTACTGTATGATCCAGTTGTAACACTTCTGTGTCTACATTAAAAGAACTCAAGGCAGCACAGCACAGAGCGAGCTGTATAACCCTGCTGACTTCAGTCTTCCTTCAGCCAGGTTACAGACTCACAGATTGCCATCACCTGATGAGTGCATAGAGTTTTATTCAGCCACAAAGAACAGTAGCATTATGTTGTTTTCATGGAAATAGAAGCGAAGTAAGCCATATTAACAAAGATAAATGTCACATGCTTTCTTTCATAGGCAGAATCTGGATTTTTAAAAAGACATGAGAGTAGAAGGGGGCTGTTAGGGGAAGCGAAAAGGGTCCAGTGGGAGGAACATGGAAGAGGAATGGGAGAAAGTACCAGGGGTGAGAATATGATCAAAGTTACATGGTATACATCTGGGAATACATAATTATACTCATAATTTTATTTTATTTCTATGTCCTGATAAAAAATAAAGCTAAAAGTTCAAAGACAAATATCTGTTTATAATAATAACCAGTCACATTTATAATCAAAATAACCTAATGTTTATTTTTATTAATATTAGTATTAAATTATTTCCCAGATTCTTAACCAGGTGCTACATGTGCAGTATCTCTCCAAACCTTCCCTACCACCCTATTTATGGAAGCAGAATAAATACATTAGTCTTATTTTCCTGAAGGGTACACTGAACCTTAGAGAGGTAAATGACTTACCGAAGTTCATTAAGTTACTAACTTGCACAGCTGGGATGCCTCTAAATCTCTTCCTCTTGAAAGGCACTTATTTACTCTCTGATATCCACACTTAAGAGCCCTGGTACTGACAGATTAAGCCAAATCCTGGGACAAGCCCTTCTAAGGGATGTCTTGTCACACCTCTTCGGGATCCCTTGATAACTCTTAGAACCTGTTGTCTGCCCTCCATTCTCATTTCACTTTCAGCTCCTTCCCGTGACCATCTCCATTGTCTCTCAGTACTTCTCACTCAGTTTGTTGTCTGCCCTTCTACAGACAGGATCATGTTGCAGATGGCGGTCACTTAAGATTAGTACTCGAGTCTTCTTTCCAATGACCTCCAGCATTTGCCTGGCTTTCCTTCCTTCCTTCCCTTTTCCTTCTTGCCTCCTTTCCTTTCTCTGCTCTCCTATCCTTCTCTTTCTTCCAAGTCACTTATTAGATATCCACTATGAGATATCTACTATGGATGGTCATAATTGATGAAGAGACTGAGGTCAAGAAAAAAAACTATGTCTTTCACCCAAGGAGCTTACCATTCAGCTACAAGGCTAAACCGAGGCTGTATGTACTAAATGCTATAGTATAGGTCTACACAGAGTATATGGGACACCAAAAAAAGGAACACTTATGGTTACAGATCTAGAGCAGCTGTGCTGGCCAGGTACCATTTGAGCTGGCGCTTGAAGGTACTAACAAAGGCTATTGTTTCTGTAAAATGGGGGAGACATTTTAAAATGTTGTCTAACAAAGAACCATAGTTCGGGTGTTTCTGAGTTGTGAACAGTATTTAATTTTCACAAATTGAATATTTAATTAAAATTGTGCTGTAATTGTATTAGGAGAATGTAGTGGGAGATGAAGAGCGCTCAGAAATTCAGGAGGGAATAATGAATGTTGGGGAAAGGCAGGCCACCAGAGAGCAGGCATAATAGAAACATGGAGGCAAGAGCAGCTTTGGAAAATACCAAGAGTGGTCAGAGTGGGTCAAGAGAATGCTGTTTTGTTAAAAGTTTAGAGTCATTTAATTTTTAAAAGTATTCACGTGTGCTCCTTTAGTTTTATTTTTATTGCCTTCACCCATATATAACGAATTGTAGTCATTTTCACACAGCCCTATCCCTCTCTCACCGCCTCTTTCCCACTAGAACTCAGTTTCCCAACAAGTCCCTCTTCTCCTTTGATGTCTTCTTTTTGTGTGTGGCCTACTGAGTTTAATTAGAATGTCTTGCTTAAGCGTTGGTGGGAGATGATTTACTTGAGCAATGTCAGTTTATTAGTGCGTACACCACTGAAGACAAATGGCATTTCCTCCTCCAACAACTGCTGATTGTCAGTAGTCTTGCAGGGAGAGGTTGAGCCTCGTGGGTCTTTCATTCACCCATGATGAAATATGAAAGGGTCCAATCTTGTTTTTGCAGATAATCACAGCTGCAGGGAGTTCTTGAGTGCAGTAGCTATGTCATATCTGGAAGACATCTTTTTGCTGACCAGCTCCCCATCCTATCTCTTAATGCTCTTCCCATCCCCCTCTTCTTCAGTATTCCCTGAGCCTTGGTGACATCGCTGTTCCATTTAGGGTTTCTGAGACAGGTCTTTCTATGTATAGAGCCCAGGCTGGGTTCAGACTCAGGATTTTTCTGTCTCAGCCTTTTGAGTGCTAGGATCATAAGCATGTGCGGCTGTGCCTGGCTGCATGGATTCCTTTATTTATAAGAAGTTGAAAGTTTTTTTATGCAAACTTCACTCCTCATCTCAAAATATAGCCTGTTGCCTCTTGTTTAAGGGGAAATAGATGGGCATGGTCTGGTCTGTGACCCAGACAGGCTCTATCAGGGACAACACCTCTGGGCTTGAAGGTCTGGTGTTCAGCTGGACTGTCTCACAGTCATTAAACTTTTCCATAGACTGATGTAATAAACCAGATGCCTGTTTATCCAGATGGCATATCCTTTCCCAGTGACTAGAATGCAGGCAGCCCCTTCATGTGCAAGGAGTGTGTAGAGGAGAAGCCTTTTAGGGAAGCTTTTAAACTTGGTTCCCTAAATACTGCTTTAAAAACAAACCTGCCTGCCACGTGGGCATATTTTTCTTCCCTTGTATACATGTCAACGTGAAGCTACACAGCCACTTCTTCACCCACTAAGAACCTAAGTAGCACAGTTCTGGGGGTTTCTTTTCCTTCGACCTCTACCTGTTACTTTGATGCTCTGGGAATCTTCCCAGTAGTTTTCACCAGTCTCAAATGCAGGTGTGTGAGGAGGAGATGTGTTCTGATTTCCCAACTACCTATCTATCTGTGCCCTCCAGATCCAGAAGTAGGAATCATCATCGGAGCCTTGGTCGGTGCACTGACAGGAGTGGCTATCATCATCTGTGTGGTGTACTTTGCCAGGAACAAAGTTAAATCCAAGCAAAAGAAGAAGTTAAATTCCAGCACTGAACTTGAGTAAGCCCCTTTTGACTTCCAGCCACTTCCTCATTGTTGTCTTAACCTGAATGCGAGCATTCCTGGGAAGTAGCTCCCACTAACCTCCCCCTAAGCACTCCTTTCAGCATGACCTACCAAGGTTAACTCCGCGCTTGTTCTCACTGTTTTTACCCAAAGCATGATGGTGCCTGTTTATTGAGACCTGTGTGCTAGACTCGGTTCTAAGCATGTATTATCAACTAATTTAATCATCACAAAAGTCCTTTTAGGTCAGAGACAGTGTTTTAGGATCTAATATTAACAGGTTTATTTTTATACTGACACAATCATAAACACAATTGTGCATATTTTAATGTAACAGGAGACCCACAAAAGCAAAAGTACATAGGGCCCCGGGAAGTCAGAATTTGGTTCGCCTACAGCCTGTACTCTTAAGTACTACAGTGTACGTCACACTCATTCGCTTGCTCTCCCTTCTCTCTTCCTTTTAAACTTATTTTTATTTGTTTGAGATTATAATTACAACATTTTCCCCTTCCCTTCCTTCTTTCCAAATCCTCCCGTATATGCTTCCCTGTTCTCTTTCAAGTTCATGGCCTCTTTTTTCGTTAATTGTCATTGTGTGCATATATGTATATTTACATGCATACATGTTCCCAAATACAACCTGCTAAGTACTGTCATCTGTGTGCAGATATTCATGGATGACCAGAATGTATTGGATAACCAACTGGTGTGCCTTTCCCTGGATTTCCATCTTCTTGATTCCAAAAAAGGATTCAGGAGCCGAGCACTAAGGAGTTGGAGATAGAGATACAACTAACCATGGATTTGACCCTCAAATACATTATCAATTTCTCAGACCCTTTATTTATTTTAGTTTTCTACTTTTTAAATGATGGTGTGTCTTTCTTGGACTTTAATATTGTTGAAATCAACCCTTTCTTAACTCCACAACAGACACATCTGGTCTGACAGCAAGTGAAAATACCAGAATGAGCAGCTGTTCTAAACCTATGGTTCTCAACCTGTGGGTTCAACCCTTCTAGCAAACCTCTATCTCCAAAAATATTTATATTATGATCCATAACATACCAAAATTACAATTATGAAGGAGAAACTAAAAAAATCTTATGGTTACTACAGATCACCACAAAATGAGGAACTGTATTAAAAGTGTCACAGTATTAGGAAGGTTGAGAACCAATGGTCTACAGCCTATTTGATACTAAAGCTACAGTGTATGGCTTCATGTGAAATTTCCAAGTGTGACTCTTCCCTAATGTGTTTCTGGTGATTCTTTCTTATAGGCCAATGACAAAGGTACAGCATTCCCGACAAAATGAGGCAATTCCAGTTGATAGCATCCAGCTAGCAGGAACTTTGCCATCTCCCATCCATGCTGGCCACAACACCGAACCTACTACTATTACAGTCTTGGAGCCAGAATATGAGCCTAATCCCCCTCTGGAAACTGCCACACAGCCTGACCCTGAACCAGAGGGTTCAGTGCCAGTGCCAGTGCCAGTGCCTGAGGCAGAGGTTCATCTGCAGCCAGAGCTGGAGCTGGACCCGGAGACAGAGACAGAGCCTGAGCCGGAACAGGAGCCTGAGCCGGAACATGAGCTTGAACCCGACCCCCAGTCTGGAATAATAGCTGAGCCTATGCATGAGGAGGAAAAGAATACAGTTAAGGCATAGACAGGCATGGCATTAAGTATGGTGGTTCCCACTAAAGAACCCATTCCTGGCTTTTAAAATTTGGTGGACTTAACCAGCCCCCAGTTTGTCCATCCATCATGGACAACCCTCATCCAACAACATGCGTATTCCAACCATTAATCCAAAATAAAGAAATCAAGGTAACTACTAAAGAAATGCCGTGGTTTCTGCCTTTTTAGTATAGGTTACCTAAAACTGTACTAATATGTAACCTAACAAATGATAAGGCCAAGACAAGTTGTTCATTTCTAATTTACTTGGAAGAGTATTTGCAAAAGTATATTCTGTATTTTATAGTAATTTTTTGGTCATGGATCACATGTACATATCCTAAGATAAGGTTAATTTGATTGAATATTAATTTTGGGATTGGTTGTCTTTCCTGTTCCTTTTCTTTTGTATTTACCACTGAGAAAAAAATGTTTGCACCATTGGTCCATAAATTAGAAAAAAAATCATTTCCCCCAAATAAGGTATGTATCAATTGGTACATATAATTGATAACAAAGTCTTATAATTTATCATATTAGATCTTTAATAAATCACTTCAGTGTCCAACATTGAACATAGCATTTTTATAACTTATTTTTCACTACCTAATGGTGCACAAGCAAACAATTTAGAATAAACCTTTTCTTTGGTGAGCATAAAGTGTTGGTATTGGGGGGCAATTCAGAATATACCTTTGAATAAGATATGTATTACTGTTGGATGGTATCTGTTTTAGCAGTAGACTGGGATGGTTTTCCAGATGAACACTTTGGTCTACTTTAGATAATCTGAACTGGCAATTTAAGTACTCTGTGTTACTGTATCTATAGTCCATGTTAATAGAAATATTACTTTTACATAAGTGATAAACAGAAAGTGAATACATTGATAAAATCCTTTCGTCACTTTAAAAAGGCTTTTTCACAGTCATGTTTCACCGAATCCCACTCTGAAGAAATTTGCATGTAGATTTATTTTTTAACTTATGTAATCAATCATATTTGAAATATAATTTTAAGGCTCAATAAATAATCCTCAATAAAATCTCATTTAGTGACTACTAAGATAGAGTCTTTAATAAGTAATTTTATTTTCATGTAATTTATGTACTATAAGCTGTATCCATTTTAACTGTATAATTTGGTGAGTTTTGACAGTTGTACACACCCATGAAATCACCATACCTATGTAGAAGTAGATGGTTTTCACCAGCCCATAGTGCTTCCTCATGTCCCCTTTTACAATTCCACTGTGCCCTGGACCAAGATGATCATTGATCTGTTTTCCATTTCTAAACATTAGCTTTTCCTTTTCTGACCTTTATATGAATGGTATCCTATGGTGCATACTTTTGTATCTGACTTTCTTCTCAAGTAAATACTTTTCAGTAGATCTCTGTCACATCTAGGATCTATATAAAGGATTTCCTTAACTGAAAACTTTTCTCTGTATAGATCCTGCCTATTTGTCAATTGGGGTAGAGTCTACAGACATTTTAAGGTGAAATGAAGTTAACTAATATTTATTACTTGCACCAAGCCTGGAAAATGGATATCAAGCTTTACTTGAGTATTTTCTTTGATGTGTCAATTGGTAGACACTTTTGGAGATTTTTAAAGCATATTTTGCATTAACCAGTGAACTATAGTGCACTGTCATGGTAATATAGTGCCTAATGTATACAAGGAAGCAAACGTCTGAAGGTCCTGAGAATGACCTCACTTTTAGATACTGTAAACTAATACTAAAATTGCTATAACAGCTGTGGGAAAGAAGGCCACAGTGGTGGTGAAGGATTCCTGGAGGCGTTCCACGCTGACGGGTCCCACATACAGGAGGAGGTCTAAGGTTCCAGAGGCTGGAGTCTTTGGTGGGCGGCAGACCCCAATGATACGAGGAAGTCCTTGGTTCCAGAAAGGTTTATTTTCATGGAGGATGGATTTGGATGTACCCCCCTGAAACTCAGGGCAGTCCTGAGTTAAATAGGGAGGGAGTAAGGGGGAGGGTCTGGGGAAGGATCCTTAATTTGCTCCGCCCTCTGGCCTTCATTAGTATGTAAATCCCTAGGGCCTGAGGCCTGTAGTCACGCCCTCTACCTGTGCACTTTGGGAGGGGCTGTAATGGCCTATGTGACTGAACAATGTAGGTCTATGGAGACTAGACTGCGTGTAAGAATCTTAGGTTCTGGGGACGTGGTCGAACTCCTGCCATTTCTCACTTAGAATCTCAAGGTTCCAGCCCCATGCCCATCCATGAACCAGGATACCCTTACGCAGTCCCACAAATAGCCAAGTAGCTGAAATTTATTTTTTCTTGTCCATTTCTATTATGGGATAAATCTTAGGAAGAGAAGTTGACCTGGAATAGTCAATGACTATACTCCCAAATTTCTGATGTTGACTGGAGAAGAAGTCACTATTGGTGGTCTTAAATAGCTCTGTCTTCGCTAGAACTGTTCCATTTGAATACTGATAAATAGTTGGATGAATGATTTTTTTCCACATTTTTTAGATCCCAGATCACCTTGGGAATCTGCTAAAGACTGTGGACCTTTAGCCATTGAAAATGCTTATTACACATAATGTGTCAACATGCAGTTGATTTGTCTTTTTTAATACAGTATTTTTATTATTTGGGAATTTCATAGAGTATATTTTGGTAGTATTCATCCCATCTTACTCCCTCAAATGCTTTCCAAATCCACCCTCACATCACTGCTCTTCTTAACTTAATGTCCCTTTAAAAATAACACATCAAGTCCATGTTTGTGCTGCCTATATACTCCTGGGTGTGGGGCCATCTACTGGAGTATGGTCAACCCATCAGAAACCACACCCTTAAAACTGGCACTCCCCTTCCAAGAAGCAATTAACTGTCAATAGATCTTCAGTTAAGGGTGGGAGCTTATAAGCCCCTTTCCTTTCTATGTTAGAATGTGGACAGATTTCAGAATTGCTCTTACACAGGTCTTGTGCAGGTAACCACAGCTGCCCTGTGTTCATGAGTGCTGTGGTCTTCTCATATCCAGAGGACACTATTTTACTCCAGTATTCTCTGACTTCCGGCTCGTACATTCTTTCTGTTCCCCTTTTCTAATATGTTCCCTGAGCCTTGGGGTGGTTGATATATAGTCAGGATTTGGTTTTCAGGAATTACATCTACTCTAGCCTTTTCAGTCTTGGCTTCTCTGTAACTATTCTTCTCTGATGAATATGAAATTTCATTATCCAGTGATCTCACCCAGGTTGATAAGTTAATCCACTCAAGTATTTTTAAAAAAGAGTAGAACGTAGAAAAAAAGAAGTTTTATTCCATGTAGTTACTTTGGGAAGAGGGACAAAGAGATCCAATGAATCTTCCTCCAAGTTTGTCTTTAACGTCTTGAAGTGAGACTAAAACTTAAATAAAGGGACACACACACACACACACACACACACACAGAGAGAGAGAGAGAGAGAGAGAGAGAGAGAGAGAGAGAGAGATTCTCTATGAAAGTGTGGTTTTGCCTATGACTGACTCATCACTGGGCTTCAGGCTTATCCTGAAGGTGGTTTGCTAAATTATTAGAACCGTGTGAAATCTCTTTCTGAGTGATACATTCTCTTTCTGGCTGGACCCATTTTCTTTCTACAGCATAAGATTCCTGGGGATATTCCCATTTCTTTGGTGTCCATTATTTCAATAATCTGATAGACTGGGTAACACAAGTGTCTCTATACAATGTCTTCATTCCTGTTAGGCTGGTTATAATTCCCCACTTTCTGTTTAACACTTCGGTCTTGAGGTGAAAGATGTCAGTGTCTGACAAACAGAATGTAACTAGAGACCAAAGTTACAGTACATTTAGTTAATGCCAGGTAGCCATGCATAAGAACCATTTTCCATAATCTCTTTACTTTGTTATTTTTGAAATGGCTGGCATAAGCAGCTCCATTTTGTTGATTTGAGATAGGGTCTCATCATGAAGCTGTTGTTGGCCTCAAATTTATGACTTTCCTATTTCAGCTTTCTAAGTTCTGGGCTTGCAGGCAAGTTCTGTCATGCTCATTGAGACTATATTTTAGTTCTTACAACTTCTCCCATTGTCTCTCAACAATATTCACTGAAGACATGTGTCTTAGTTAGGGTTTCCATTGCTGCAAAGAGACACCTTGACCAAAGCAACTCTTATAAAGACAACATTTAATTGGGGCTGGCTTACAGGTTCAGAGGTTCAGTCCATTATAATCTAGGCAGGAGCATGGCAGTGTCCAAGGAGGTGTGGTGTAGGAGGAGCGGAGAGTTCTACATCTTATTCCAAAGGCAGCTAGCAGAATACTGGCTTCCAGGCAGCTAGGACAAGGGTCTTAAAGCCCATACCCACAGTGATACACTTACTCCAACAAGACCACACCTATTCTAACAAGTCCACACTTCCAAATAGTGCCACTATTAATATTGAATATTAATGTGCCAGCATATTGAATATCCTGGGCCAAGGATATTCAAACCATGACAACATTGCTAATTAACCATCTGATGGTTTGCTCTCCACAGTCCCATGATTGAGGGAGAAATTCATCCTTGTTTGGTCTGATTTGATTCCATACTGGGGGAGTAAGGGACATGTCAAGGGACAGTGGCAGTAAACCTTTCAGGCTCAATTTTAGCAACTGAGGTTTAGAACATGTACCTTAGTTAAGGCATACTTGAAGTCTATTCTGCTTGTCCTGTGGGTAATTGTCCTAGCATCTCAAATGTGTTGTCCATGTTGCTTTGTAGGGTGTTAAAAAACAGTTCTGGGACTTTAAAAAAAACCATAGGTATCTGTAGGCATAAATTTTTTACATCCTGGTTTTAATAATGGTTCAACCTCCCCTCTAGCCCACCACCCAGCAGATATAGTGGAAGAGAAAAGTTATTAGAATATGAGGGAAGTGAACCTCTTCAGCAATGGTTCTTTCGGGGGAGAGCTCAATCATTTTGGGCAGCAGTTCAGTCCTATAGCAAACACCAAATAGCATTCAGCAGCTGCAGACCAGTCCTCTAGGCAGGCAGACACCAGGCATGAACCATTTGTACAGTCCAGTCCTTTCAGCAAGCACGCACCAGGCAGCTTGTAGTTCGATCTTGAAAAAACAGCCTGGTTCACCAAACAGCCTGAGGCAAGACCCCAGAAGCCATAAGCTGCAGCAGGAATCTCTTGAGCCGTGGAGCCAGTTTCTTTCAATTTCGGAGTTATCACAAGTTGAGCTCAAAAGGCTATGTAAGGCGAGCCAATACATGTGTGTCTTTAGCAAGGAATGAAGAATAGCGAGGCAGAACAAACCAAACCAAGGCTCAGTGCTCATCTCCCACTGTCTATGGGGTCATATTTATTCTCCTTCATCAAACATCCTTTCACCTGTGTCTGCTTCAGGAAAACAGTCTTTCACATGTTTGCTTTAGCAAGACGTCCTTTCACCTGTGTGCCCCAGAAAAACATCATTTGGCATAACTAACTTTCAAAAGAACTAGAAGTTTCCACTTCAGCTACCAAGTAAAACGCACGCATTTTAGCTACAATTCTTTATGGAAACAACCAACAAGAGTCAAATTTTTGAAAATTAAGTAGTTGCATATATATTTGCAAATATTCACTATCTATCAATTTTTAAAAAGTTTTCATAGTTTAAGTGGCGTCTATACATACAGCCGAGAACAATTAGCACCATGAAAGAGGACTGTACAAAAGTTACTTAAGAAAAGTTTAGACTCTGGCTTAGTAGAACAAGTCTGTAGCACTGACATATCAACAATCAAAAATTTTAATCTTTTGGGAAATTGAAGAAACAGTGCTGCTTATTAAACACAGATTATGCACCAGTATATCTCATGTATAGAATATCAAATACTTATTTTGTCAGAGGAAATGGCTGTATACCCACATTTTAAATTGCAAGATTGTCTGGATGACAATTTTTGATGCCTTAAGTCTTTAAGTCATTAAGAGGTCAAAAATATACCGTATATGTAATGAGACTACTTAGGGTGAGTCTTTGAAAGCCCATAATTATGCATTTGAAGCTGGTACCAGTTAGTTTTAGGAGTCAGTAGCTAAGGGAACTGGAGGGTGTGTTCTCCCCACCCAGGACATTCCCTCCTCCTGTTCCCTCACACTCTCTCTTTATTTTCCCTTTTGAACTGGAGTCTCACTCTGCTACCCAGGCTGACCGCATACTTATGGACATAAGTGATCCCTCTGCTTCCTCAATCCGAGGAGCTGGAATAGCTGATGAGTTCCACCGCATTCTGCCTAGGAATATTTACCTTGCTTGTCGAAGGGATCCATTGTGTTACTCAGGCTGCCCTTGAACTTATGACGTTTCTCCTGATTCAGCCTCTTGTGTATTGGTATTACAGATGTGAGC